AAACCTAACTAGATTTTTGATAGAATTGGCGAGCTCGAAGAGTTTGAAAAATTGAAATTTTTTAAAGATTGAAACACTGTAAAATGACTAATGCAACTAAATTTGTCGTAATAAATAATTGTTACAAATAACAGATAACGAAGAAGACAACGAATATGAACAATTATGACCATAAAAATCAATCGATCGCCGATATATTTGTAAGAAAGCGTATAAAACGAGTGCGTAACCGATTGTAATTTAAGATAAATGGGACGTTCGTTGATCTTCAACTTCCCCTTTACGCCTTCGTGTCGATCTTGGTTCGGTTAAGCATGAAATTAGAATGGAACAAGTTGTTTAATCTTCCACTGAGCTTCGCCTATTTATCTAGATATCTAGCAGTAATTACCGTTTTTCATGCAATGATTTTTAACTAAAATTTACGTACACTGATAGTAGATTTCAAGGTATATAAAAAATGTATAAAAAAGACTGAGTAGCGATTATAAAATTTGCCTATATCTGTTTATTTTTCGATAGTGTATGGTTCAGTATATATCGCAATACTTATAGCGAATACTATTATTGTTACGCCACGAGGCTTATCACAGGCTATATTTTCTAACCGTCGCTCGCGGTCCTACAGTGTCGCAGGCAGATCGTCTTATCTGCCCGACGGATCATATACAATGTATCGACGAGCGCATAGTTGTCGCCAAGCAGCGAGCTCTAGAAACGTCGAATTTTGTCCGTTACGTTCTCCACACAAGAAGAGGTATACGTGATCATAGGCGCGAGCGGTGGCGTGACCCGAGCATAGTGGGGGTCGTCTTCCAAATGAGACAAAGAAATCATCGAAAGGCGATTAGTTCCTTCTGACGAGTCAAACGTGACACATCGAGAAATCTGACGAGCAAAATCAAATAGTCTAACGAATTCATCTAGAAATATCGTAAAGTCGAGTCAACTTTCTGTAATATATTCATCATATTATTGTAAAATATATTATTTTATGTTAACCTGTTAATACAGTGTTACATTCATTAAATCACCTCTGTTATCTTAACCAAAACAGGGAAACGACTATTTCGCGGCGTCGATTAACATAATCGTAGCGAGAATTTACGCCTCTCGCTGACGCGTTTTCCTAGCGACCGCGTCTCTCCGCGAACGGTCGTAACAATTATAAATCTTTAAATCTGAGTATAATTTCGTTATAAATAATAATAATTTGCTGGGAATGAAACACGAAGAAGAATGAAACTAAGAATAAGATAGCGTTTCAGCCGGAAATAACGTAGCTTCGCGGAAAAATGACAGGAAGTCAAAATATTTCACGGACATCGGCAGTCAAACTGTAGTGAGATCTTTGAGAGCTTGTGACTGAAATAAAATGAGTTAGCTCTCCGCAAAGAACCCTACAAAACGAATTACGAACTCGCCGGAAGTTCGACAAAAGTCGAAGATGTTTAAGAATCGGAATGCGACATCACTCGCCACTTCTTCGGCAACGTTTCATCTTTTGAGAGCGTCAGAAGGCCAACGGCGAATACATAAATACATATATTGCATAAAGCCTCGTTTTTAAACGGTTCTTAAGAAGCGATCATGTTGGTCTCGAATATAGTGAATGTTTGGAGAAATTTTCTACGCTTTTAAGAAAAAAGTATTCTGTTTTTGAAATTTTTAACTACATATTATGTCATGTACCTAATTTATCAAATTATTTTTCGGAAAATCAGTTTTACAAGAAAAAAGAGAAGAAATTTTATAATCCAAACTTTTGTAGATTTTTATAGCTAGAAAAGTGATACAATTATGAAAAGTACATTTTTAGAACTTCATTACGTAGGTACGTGATTAACGTTTATATTGGAAGAAACAAATTACGTACTTCCATAGGTTTATTTATAGGAAGAAAATGAGATACATAATAATAAAGTTTAATCTAAACGCATCACTTTTCTGTACTTTTCAATTTTTAGATGGGATTCGGTACTAATCGATGTGATTTCTGAACAGCTCAAGTATGGACAACTAAGAAAATTACATTTTCAAACTCACCAGTTACGCCACAGATACATGTAAATAAACGTCGATATAATTTGTGCCCTTTAAAATGTTCTGTTGTGATCGACCGTTGCTCTGTATTTTGGCTGTTATTGACATTCTCCAATGTTGGGGATTCTTCCTGCGTACGCAATTTGCTCGATGATCAATTATTCGAGCGAATATATACGCTACGCATCGTTCGACTTGTTGGTTAACCTGATTATGCGCATACAAATTTTAACGAGTACTTTTTTTAAACCACCGATTCACTAACACGGTTCCACAATTAAACTACGGTTACGGCGAATGCGTGTTCTTATACACAGATCGGGACAAATATATGGGTTCTTATGAAAGCATACGTTACGGTTTTTAGATATTTCATTTGTCAAAACTAGTCTTGAAAACACGAATCCACCGTAAACCGCTGTAAACTAACCAATATTTTCTGCATTAAATCAGCAAATTGTTTCAGATAAGTAATATGTAGCTGTTTAAAAGCTTGTTCAGCTTGTTGTTTAAAATTCGATTGTTCGGAGCAGTAAAATCAACAGAAAAGAAGCCATGTTTACGACACGACACTACTTTCGCGGTACTGCTTCTTTTTGATGATTTTAAGAATCGATGCGGTACGTCTCTGCGATCGATACTCCGGTCGATAATGTGCACCTATCGCAGTTGAGCAATTTGAAGCGTGATGCGCGCGCACAGTAGTTTTAACGACTCGAAGTGTGGTGCGTGTAACGTATGGTTTCGTGTTTGATTTTTGTGCAATTTTTTCAGTGTTTTAATCAATATTATCAAAATATAAAAGATCTTTCTGCAAACTTACGAGGTGCTTATATTCTCCAGTTACTTCATACAGTGAGTAGGAAGTTTTATATTTAAAAGTTTGGTAATTCAATGTTTGAACGTCGCGTCGTTTCGATTTTAAGCGGTCGCCATATTGCACACGTACAATACTTGCTTGAATTCAAATCAGAGAATCGTATTGCAATTCACGCAGAGCAGGACCTTCGACAGAGGAATAAATCCATCATGAACAAATGGAAAAGACAATACTTCTTCCATACTCTCTCTACATCTAATCATTATCTTTGACAATAGGTTTAGGTTACACTATGCTCGAGACACTGACAAAGAATGGAAGGAAATAGCGAGATTAGTCATTCAAATTTACGCGAAACAAGGTTATTGGAATTTAGGCGAGATCTTTGGCATAGGATTTACTGTATTTTAACATAACACGACGAACGAAATTTTACGAAACTATGAAAAGGTAGTTGGATGGTACTTGGAAATAAATATGTCCAAAATGAGTTATAGGAGTTAGAAAAAGATGATATGCTTTTGATGATACGCTATCGTAATTTTTAACGAAGAGAAAGCATTGTTCGCGATATCGAATGGTTTGACGACGATAGTTCCTTTTTTTTTTACAAGAATAGCGAATATCTTATAATGAAAGTTAATCGCGGAAAAATTAAGCGAGAAGAATTATTGGTTTTTAGTGACAATGTTAACGATAAGTAAAATCTTACGACGATTTTCACGGATTTGCAACAGCGTGAAGTTCATTATAACTCTCCTTGTGGCTAGAAGATTTCGAACGGTTAGCGCGGAAAATTATGCTTTGAGCGTTGAGACGTTAAATGGACACGCCATTCTTCCTTTGTATTCTCTTCTTGCAGGAAATCGATTTTAACAGAGAGAAATATGTTTTGAAGCACGAATAGCATAAACGATGGCAAACTCCATGGATCCAAATTAAATATCGAGAAGAAATTTCTAATGCTATTATTCCTACCAATATTTGTATGAAAATGCGTGAAATTTTTTTTATAAATCTCCGCTACAGTTTGAGTCTCAGGAATTACATAATTTCGTAGAAATCGTTCGTTGTTTGATTACTTTCTCCTACTAGAAAAACGAAATTTATGTTCTATTATCAGTGCTGAAAGTATTTCGGACAACAGTGTGTCTATTATTAGAACCAAGTCTTCGTCTGAACGAAATCTTTTATCATCGTGTCGGAAACTCTGAAGAAGTTGCTTCTTCGAAACCGAGTTATACAAGTTCATCGTAGGCGCTCACGAGGAAAATGTTTGACAATCGCAAAAGGTTTGGTCATTTCTAATCCAGTTTGTTTGTTTTCTTCGCTCTCCCTATAGATGTTTTCGTTATTAGGGTGACACGAAGTATCATCGCTACTGCATACCGATAAAAAGGAGGAGAAGGCAATACTTATTGGATAAATTCGTTGAAGGCTGGTAGTTTAAATAACACGGTCGTAACCAATATCACGAACATAGAAATGAAAAGTCGTAATGGAAAGTGTGTGGAGGAAGTGAAGGAACTTTCGACTCTCGTACGACTGTCGTGTTTGTAAAGCAAAGTTTTACAGAGTATACATCGTGGCGTCAGCGTGGCTAAATGGCTGCGATTTCTCCGAAGTTGAAGGAACGCGTGTAGGGGTAGAATATATGAAAGCGCGTGTGAAATAAAACATGTTGTATTAGAGCATGGCACATCGTATTCTAAAACAGATTTTCAAATATTTTATTTATCAGTAATCCTATTATCGTTGTAACTGAACCAAAAAATCCTTTGTATTTCATAGTTCTATAAAATTATAAATTGCTCGAAGCAATTAGAGGATCGGTTTGACTCTTTGATTTTTATATTTACTTCTTACGTCCGTACATCTTTTTTAATTATCATTTTTAAATCGTCATACTATCGAGTCTATAGAACTTGTCCATTTCTGATCACGATAGATCCATTCATAGATGAGATCCTTTAATTCTGTTTCTTATCTTCGCTCTTTGCGTAGAATTGTCTTCGAATCTTGCTACTTCCCGGTCTCGAGCTGTACGCCACTACGATGATCGTGGCGTAGCTCGCATGCGGGTGCATGTGCCGGTGGATGGTAACGCTTGCGCAGTGACGGCGCGTCGCTAGACAGCTCGCCGCTACGGGTGCATCTCGCGGCAGTTCACAGTCGTCTTCTAAAGCAAGCTCATTAGTCGCTCAGCATTCGGCCGGGACACCTTTCCGTGGATCACGCTACACACGTTCGAATATCTCGTGTCCCGTTCCATTTGATATTCCACCTTTATCTCCTCCGTAAAAACTTCTCCCTCCATCCATCTTTCTCTTATCTCACCTTTCGTTCCTAATCAGAGGCTATCGATCAACTACCAGAACAAAGTTTTCATTGAACAAGTTAAGAAACAAACATCTCCCGCCGCGTTCGATATCGCACAGTCTTTCCGCGAGGGGATGCAACGAAGCTCGATAGGCTCTCGTACACGTGCTAGTTGACCGTCTCTTACTTCTTCCACCAAAATATTTTTAAATACTCGCGATTCATCGTCTCCGCGCGTTTTCTTCGGTTATGACATCCGTCCGGTTCCAGTGAATCTCTTGGAACAGTCTGCGAGTCTCCTATCCAACGACGTCTCGATGATCGAGTGTCGCATAGCATCGATATTCTTCGAACGGATAAGTCGAACGTAAGGAAATACCAATCACGGTATCGTAAAAATCGATTGAAAGAGGACGATACAGGGGAAAGGGAAGCGCAGATCCAGATACACGGATCGATCAGGTGAACGGAGTGTACGTAATCGAGGGTGAAGGCGGAACTCGGGCGAGCCGAGGTCGTCGACACCGCGACGCGACGTCGGCGGTGCAGAATATCAAGAGAAATATAACGAGCACGGTATCGAGAGAACGCAACTCGGCCGATGGTCGAAACAACGTCGACTCAACGGTTCACGATCAAGTTACCCATGCTGCAACCACCGTCTCCTCTCTTGGAGATGGCATCGCTACGTCTGCCGGACTCCGAGGAGTTTGACATTGATACGCGTCGTAGAAGTAACAATGGAAACATCCCGCCTACCACCGTTTCGGCCATTCCACAGACCACGGGTACCCTCTTGCAGATGAGGAACGATCTTGGCGATTATCTCAATAACTTGATCGCGGAGGCTATCACGACCAATCCGAGGACATCGATGGAGGAACAGGGTGGACTTTTGAACGCCAGCAAGACGGCGAACCTCTCGACCGCTGAACAAATTCCCGATCGGCTGTACAGGCACAGCATGGCCATGTCGGCGGTTTACTGTGTCGCTTACGTTTTGGTCTTTGTCGTCGGTCTGATCGGGAACAGTTTCGTCATAGCCGTAGTGTATCGGTCACCGCGGATGCGGACTGTAACGAATTTCTTCATCGTCAATCTCGCGGTCGCTGATGTCCTCGTCATAGTCTTCTGCCTGCCTGCTACTCTGATGAGCAACATCTTTGTCCGTGAGTACCAAAATGTTACAATATTCATTTACATTGCAATGTCGTTCTGTTGCTTTATATTTAAGGAGAATATTTTAAAATTAGTAGATCGAGAATTTAAAGTTTAAGTAGTATGATTCGCGAATGCGAAGAAATATTTTATGGGGAAGGGCTGCTTGGTATAGATCTTGAGTTGTGAGAGCTTAATTATATTGGACTAATGAAATCGCTGGCTTTCCAAGGGCGTTTAAAATCTGTTCTATACATAGGATTATTAATATTGAGAAATCCGAAATATACAGAAGAATCTCAGTTATTAGAACACCGATTGAGGAAGCGATCGATTATCGAAACATCGATTAATAGAGAATTCGATGGTCACGCACGAGAAACATAAAAATAAAAGAATAGAAACTGAGAAAAGTTCTTACATACCTACCTGAAATCTGTTAATATTCATAAAACATGTAAATTTATTCGATTATCCGAATAGCGTATATCGCGATTGGTTCGAATAATTAAGGTTCCACGTTAATATAAAAGCTCGAAATTATTCGTCTAATCCATTAGGATCTCCGATAGCAAAAGATTCTATACCAATATTCTTCCTAATCCGCTTGACGCCACCACTCGAATTTCGAAAAATCGACCAATCGCAACTTCTTATCTATTATAGCACAAAATTTTCTCTATAAACATTATTCGGTACTTACAAATCACCATCAACGACATTTACGATTCTTTGTATGATTGCGTACACACGAATCTAATACGGACAACGCGAAACTCTGCTACCGATCTCGGGTATTGATCATGCGTGATCGAGCGAAGAGAGATCGAGTGGGAGAGAAAACGTAAAAATTGGATCGAAGGCGATTAAAGGAGAGGCAAGGTGCGATTCGTTCGGCGTCGATTTGTCGTTGCAGGGGTCTCCACTCTCTGGAACGAGCTCGTGGGGGTCACGGGGGTGGAAGCGTGCCCGGCGGGGTTCCCTTGCCAGTACGGAATCGATCCCTCCGTGATCCTCACGAGCGGGCCATGTTCACGCTCGATGCACCGAGCGTATCGCGATTCTGATTTCACACAAGAGCCGACAGCTTCATCTCGAGTAACTGCGAATAAATTATTCTATAATGGAATCGGGCGAAACTTACCCCTTCCATAGCTCGAAGAAAAGCTCGTGAATTCTTTTCAATTTCTCGTGCGCTTCATCCTGATCCCCACCGGGTTTATTTTCGAAAGAAAGTTTAATCTCTCGCAGGCTTGCGCTCGCGGATACGATGGATTCAGCGATCTATTTATCGCACTTTTGCGTGAAATATACTTTTAACTATTCAATAATATAATGCAACGTTTTGTTCGATTTGCGTTCAAAACGTTTCAACCATTTTGCATTCAAATCGTTATAGTGGGAATATAACATAGGGACTCTGTGGAGCTGTTTGTGTATGAACGCGGCAGAAAGCCAAATTTTTTCAATTTCTTGCTCGCTGGATCACGATCATTGCCAAATTTATGTCCAAGGAAGGCTTAATTCCTCTGTAGACTTGTGCTCCATCGATTTAACGACGATTAATTAAACGGGTCAGTTAATGCCGATTCGAAGGAAGGGATAACGAGCAGTAAATATAATTTCGTCGAGGGTAGATCGTCCGATTAATTAGAGATTGTTACGTGCGTGTATCCTATGTAACGTCCATCTAATTACGGTTGTTTAAGCCGGATCGAAGGGCGAGCATAGATGTAAAGGGGTCGTCTCTACGATTCTGCGCGTCTTCGAAGGTATGTGTCGCAAATGCGAAGCAGGAACGCGCACGGATAAAATGTTCCAGCGAGATTTACCAAGATCCACCGAGGGATCCTGCGCATCGATCGTTTGTTTTCACCGAGCGGGAACCGTTACTGCCTTGTGTCCACTTTATTATCCACGTTAGGGCCGTAATGTTGTCGCTGGCAGCGTTTAAGGTTATTGAAACCTAATAAGACCATCGTCGTTTCCCGTTTTAGCGGACTATATCTTATTTCGAATCGAAGTATTTGCTACCGATAATTCCTTCCTCATCAGATGTTTGTTTTATCGTCATCTTTACCTCCGCTTCCTCGTGTTTGAGTATTATACCTTTTATCAATAGAAAATATCCTCCAACAAATATTATGCAGGAGATATCCACGCTTTTTCGATCATAACGATTAAAACGTGACAGAGAATCGGTCGTGCTTTCGCATCGTTCGATCGATCGTATTTTTCCATCGTCAGGTGGAATTAATAGTTTTTTTACTTCCGTATGAGCAAGAAATTTCTATATTCCTTAGCGATTCTAGTTGCTTCCGCATCAAATAATTCGTTTTTCGTTCAGTAGCTTTTCAGCAAGTAAATGGCAGAAAAGAGTTCCGTTCGAGGGACAACGATCGGTTCATCTGGTCTCGAATCGCAAAGGTCGCGATAATTGCGATAGAGACGGTATTCGGCCGTGAGCCTCCAAAGCAGCCAATTGTCAGCGTGTCGCATTGTCGCACGACTAACGACGTCATTAGCACGCACTCGCGCGGCCAACATGCCTCGCCAGTTTGTTTTCTCCGAGGAATTCAAGTGTTTCCTACCGAGTACCCGACTTGTTCACCGTGTAAACTATTTGCACTACAATTTCTGGATTTTATCTAGTAAACTCATCTTTTGTCGTCGTTTTGCGATGTCGAAATTATTCACAATTTTCGATCATTCTTTATTCTACAAATAATTGTAATCTAATAATAAATTCACCATCCACTAAATAAGATTCAAAAATGGAAATCCATTGAGATATATACTATCGATTGAATTTACTGAACCCAATTTTCTAGACAACCATCCTTCTAAGCGCTTATTTAATAATTTAAACGTTTAGTCGGACAAATATATGACAGATTTCCTTATCCATTATATAAGTACACACCAATAGCTTCGGTGCAACATTTAACATGCAACTTTAAACATAGTTATTTACTTGGGCAATATAGAATAATATAGTTCTTTCTTCCCGCTGTAAAATGCAAAATGAGTTCAGTCATCGATTTTACTTGACGTTCGAGTTCAAGGCGATACGTCGCTTCTAACTTCTCGAACATAGATTTAATCCAAGAATTTTCATTCCAGCTTTTATCAGACGAAAGTACTTTTAAACTTTATTCAATTTTTTGCCTTATCCCCTTCTTCGATCGAACGCGACATTCGCAACGTTAAATTTTGAAAATCCAGTGGAAACTGATCTACGATGTGGATATTAGGATACCAATGTCAAGAATTACAAGTGTAAATGACTAAACAAATATTTTCTTTAAATTCGATAAAACGTTCGAGAAAATATATCGTAGACGCAAACTTGGTTTATACACCGTTCGCTCGATTTTATTTATACGATCTAAAGTAGAACATCGGTGTTGCCAGTCTTGTTCATGTAGAATTCTTCTCATTTTACATAGGAGTTTAACGTTCGATTAAAAAGTAAAACAGAGCAGTTAATCGTTAAATAATTGTTTCAAAACTTGTATGACATTGCGAGATCGACAAGTATCGATTAAGTACCAGTAGAGGAAGCCGCACCGTTTGATCAGAGGGTACCATTTTCTTCCGAGAATATCGTCTACACGAAATGAGTGAATTCTTCTAGATCCCTTTGTTTACTCTCCTAAAAGAAACTTAGAGACTATAACGAAATTGAACTCGTGTTCGAGGTGGTGCTTCTGCCGTGGGTGGTGGTAAAGAGCTTTCTCTTTCTCCCTTGTGAAATGATTGCTCCATGGCAGGAAGAAGTTTCGTCCCCGCGGGATGATTTTCGTGCTGGAAATTGTCCGCGCTGTTTCTCCTGCATCTTTGCTCTGTAATTTATTGTCGGGGACTGTGGTCCGGATGGTGTTTATTTAGTAAAAATGTTTGTCGATTTCAGTGTGCGTGACATAAGAGATTAGGGTAAGAGTTAGTAAGTTCGACTTACGAAAACAAATATGTATTACTGATAATTCTTCCGAGCCACTCAACTAAACTTGTCAAGTAGGCTTCGTAAACATCCTATAAATTTGCGGATTTTTATGCAAATACATAATTTTCACATTACATATGTTTTCCATATCTTACATAAACGACGTCGATTCAGCTGTTCGAATATCATTGCTAAATGTCGAAGATGATTGCTGTAAGAAATTGAATTCGCCGAAACCACGAAGCACATATACGATTCTTTTAGCAAACCGATAAGAAAGAAATTTAATCGTATTCTGAAGAAAGTTCTCGATTGCAATATGATATCGAAAATTTCAGAAATTCCGTATGGTAGAACTATACGAGGACTAGAAGAAACCCCAATTACATCTTGCGACGTTGAACAATCTATTTCTGCTTCTAAATTAGTCAAACGATATCGATTTACTAATCTTGAAAAAACTACTGTTACTTACTGTAACGCAGATTATAATAATTAAATGTAGATAATAATACGATTTATATTCCGTCATTTATATGTACGTATCGTGTGTATGTATTTTACGTAATTTGCCATATATCTTACACGATATGACATATTTCCTGTGTATTTGAATATTTTTACGAGTTTTAGCTGCATAAAAATCCGCAGTCTACCCATAAAAAAACAGACGTACAAAGTTTTCATCATTCAAGTCAAGAGTGGCAATAAAAGTGAGCTCGTTTAATTCAGCACGATAGTCGGCAAACAGTCGTTTTTCGAAACGTTCTTCAAACACCCGAAAGAAGGTAGCTAGAACTTCTAGTAACTGGTCTCGAAAGCTCGCATTGCCGAAAGGGTGCACGAAACGCAATTTCAAAGGTCGGTTGGCGGTTTAGAAAACTATGCAAATCCGCGGAAGCTCGTTATAATTACGTTGTAACCGTGATTCGAAAGCGGCTCTTAACATTAGAGGTTAAATGGGAAACGAGACGGGTGGGTGTAATCGCGTACGATTATGTTAATAGCGATATCGGTCAACCGTTGCCTTTGACTGGTAATCGATGCATAATAACGCGGTGGATC